ATTTGAGAACCAGTTAAATTTGTCAGCTACTGACTTTAACAAAAATCTTGTTCATTGCCTGTGTTCTGATAGCCTGCTAATAACCTGAGGTACTGTATTTGTGAAGGGCAGAGAAAGCTATGACTGGGACGAGTAAAGAGATTCCGTTTTGTTGTGATAAGTAACGTCACAATCTACTCAAGTGCTCTACTGGCAGCCTTGTTATTTTACATCCTCTGCTTGATAAACTCGAAGTGGCGTTAATAAACTCATACAGCAGTTCATTTCCTGCAAGAATGGCCCTTCCAAGTACTGCAGTGCGGCAGGCTAATCGGCTACGTGATGAGGCGGAAATGCAATACATGGCGGCCCTCAGCGCGATTAAAGCAGGAACTGCCATAAAAAGCGAGCGATACATGAGTGACGAGAAACAATTAGCGTATTCGTAAATGACAGTGCAGGAATTACGCTGGCGACCGAGTGAGATTCCTGAATCGTAAAATCCCGAGGCGTTGTGTGGTATTTTCGCTTTAACCCCCATCCCTAAGTGACGCGAGGGTGGAACATCACTGAAAAGACGATAGACTAAAGTTTAAACACTCGGACAGCCAGGTTTGAGTGTTACTGTGCCCACTACAAATCCTACCTCTTCGAACTTCCTAATCTCCATGACGACGAACGTAATATTGTCGATTTTGGTCTTCTGGATTGTGAAGCCGCGCGGACTTGTACGTAGGTACGAACGTTGCGGAATAACATACGACCTCGATATTCAGAGCTGGAAATGCTGAAGATGGAGCAGATTGTTTATCGAAACACCTGTTTGACTTAATGTCTAAATAAACTTTATTCGATTTAGATCGAGTTTCTAACAGATTTTATTAAAAGATCATTGCATTGTACTTGGTATTATTACCATGTGTGACAGTCTGAGAAAGTATCTTCTCCATGGAGTTCAGAAACATTTTTGGAAGAGGTGATAAGTTGATTTTGAGCTTCATGTAAAGTAACAGACACATTGAACAGGTGTGAACAAAAATTAAATTCATCAGACAAATTTGCTGTAGACATTCATTAACCAAATTTAGTTCAATTTGTTCAGTAGTTTCAAGAATGAACTATACGTTTAGAGCTAAAATTTACCGTTGTGCGTTTATTTTGTTCACTTTATTGAAAACTCATAATATGCATAATTTAATGAATTATTGAGTAGCATTCAATACAGCATTAACTTCGGCCGAGTCTGTAAGGACTGAGGAGAAATTTCCGGCGAAGGTAGAATCGTATATAGTGAAGCTTGAACAAATACGCGAACTGACGACACTTGAGAGACTTTGTTCATCATAAATCCTCTTGTTTTAAATTCTCGATAAACTGAAAAGTGTTCTAGGGATATCAGAGCATACAGTGCACGAACGAATATAAGCTGAAGCCCTACGTTTTAATATTCGGTTCAGCGGTTTTCAAGAAGTTTTGAACAATGCACAAGAAATGGATGCTTCCCTTTGTGTTGGTGACTTTTTTTCAAGTATGAACATTCTAACACGACTACGCGTATCACCACGCACAAAACCGCTCATTCTCTTCAGCTGAATGAAAATTTCTGTTCCATTTCAAAACGTCTTCTTTTGTAATATAACAGCGTTGGAAATTAAACAGCAGGCATCTCGTCATATTGCTTCAATAATTAAACCACGTCTCAGTCTCTTACACAACACTTGCTTTTCAAGAGACAGTCCTAACCCATCCACTTTACAACAGATTGAAGAGGTAATGAAGTGTAAACATCTTTCTTGGTTCCAACTTACAGTTCATAGGAAGTAAGATAAGTTGTACTCCAAGTCTGAAAATGCGATATATAGACCTACGTATGTGTGCCCGAGTCTCCTCCACGGTGCATCGAATGTCGGCGAACAATTAAAGTCTATTACATTATGTTTATGGTAACTAGCTTTAGGCCAAGCGATCTGTCTTCTGTTTCCAGCAAGATATGGTAACTAGCTTTAGGCTAAGCGATCTGTCTTCTGTTCCCAGCAAGGGCAGTGATTTCTTGACAGAACGAAAATTGTTTTGGAATTCATTGCACCAGCCTTACTGTACATGAGTTTAAATATTCTGAATACTTTATACAGTTTTTGATATTGAAAGAAAGTAAATTATTATTTACACGTGTCTGTTGCACTTTTAGTTTCTTAATTAAATAATGCAGCATGAAAGAAGGTTCAAAGAGTAAGGCATAATTTATTTTACACAAAATTTTCCTTTTTAAAAGTACAATCCGTTGCTTACTTTTCTATCTGCACGATGTGGTTTAATTAATATACTTTATACACAAAAGAAGCTTGTGTATTTCATACGAAAAAGGAATTCTTTTAATAAAGAAAATTTTGTTTTAAGAGCTTTGTTCACTGTTAAACATTTCGCTACCCAAACACAGGCGCAGACAAAAGCTATAAATTATTATACAACCATAATATTAAATATAGGAAGCTCGCGTGTTATTTTAAAAATTAAACAGTTCGTGTATCAAAGCAAGGAGTTGTAGATATATCGAAAACGTGGAGGACAAGTGAAATAAATAAGCCTACATGAGTTTCACGTAAATAGTAAATGTCTATTTATAGTAAATCTTTCGTTACGATGGACAAATATTTGCTGTTTTGAGAATCAAGTCTGAAAATATTTTCTGATAATTTCTTCAAAACTGGCTCTAATGCAGCTTCTTAAAGAACTTTTTTGTGGTTAATGTCATAACGTTTGTAAGAGCAAACAGATCCCTTAAATCGTAATTTTGTAAACTAAATTAATATAACTTTTATGGTCGATGAAAGGGCTGCCTAAATACTTCCGCAAAATTGTCAAGGATTATGATTAGGACTGTTTTGTGGGGCATCGCACCGTGCAGTTTGGCAGAAATTGACGGATGATTCAGAGATGATTACTGCCTCCATCATTAGGGCGATGATAATGATGCTTGGGGCTTTAACCATGACGAAGGAAGCAACTCTGCTTGTTAGAAGATTTGAGTTCGGTCCTCGACAGAGGCAGAGGATTCTCTTCTAGCCTCTGAGTCCACACCGGCTCTGGGGCTCATCCAGCGTCTTCTCCAATGGGTATCTGGTTCCTTTCCCGGGGGTAAAGCCCGGCCGGGGCGTGATGCTGACCACTCACCTCCTTCTAGTGCCGAGGTTGAAAATGAGTATGAGCTATACCTCCTTTTCCTTAAGTGCCAACATAGACATGTAACGGGATGGCTTCACTTTACTCATTAAAAGGTTCTTGAAAAGAACTTGTTACCACAGTTTAAACACGCGTATTTTATAAATGTGCAAATATAAATGCAGTCATCTTTATAATTGAAGTAACTGTTTAAATAAGTAGAAATTATTGCGTTTTGTTGTATTCAAGTGCCGAGGTTAGGATTGTGACGATATATGTCGGGCAAATAAATGTCACGTGGAGGTATCTTGAATAGCTTTAATTATTAATATTGCATTTTCACCGGGGTGTGCGTAACGTTGATTTTGCAGCCTGTGTAACTCTTTGCTTAAATTCATATTTGAGTCACAGATGAATCGTATTGCACTTAGCATAGTTCTTGCAGTATGAAGCAAACTATCCTCAGACATGCTTGCACGCCCTTTCCAAAGTCAATTTGAGGTTAAGAGCTCGCAAACGCCGAGAAAATTCAATTAACTTTAATGGTGGGATCAACCATTCTTGAGAGCAGCAGGAAGTATTGGAGTCCTGGCTAATATAAGAAGAGGAGCGAGTAGCTTCATTGTTTGAATAATGGAATGAGCTTTACTGTCGGATGAATTATAGGCTGGTGACGGCTAAATGACAAAATAATCTTTAAGAATTCATTTAATCATATTATAAGTGTGTATATACACAAATTACGTGATTCGGTTTGTGTGTTATTGAATGCATGTCCTGTTTAAATGTTACGACAGTAACCAATGATTTTAATTCAGTAATATGGTACCCTTATTAGCCACAAGTCACCGTCTGCTGTTCACGACCTATCATAAATTTATTTTCTTATTATCCTTAGCAGCTAGCCGACAGATGTTTGGCCTAGTCGGATGGAGAGATTCTTCTCTTTGCTACCACATATGGAGTCCCTCTCAGCTTCCATTCACCGGTTACCGGGGACTCATTCCTTGCAGGCAAATTAACCTGAGCTCATTGGCATTAACTAAGTAACAATAGGCTACGCCATTTAAAACGCACGCCATCACAAATCACGTGCTATGGTATATAAATGAAATCTGTAGCAGGTTCACCCCTTTGTATTATAATAGATTCTCCCAATCTTACCCTTGACACTCGAGTTAAGATCACCGTTATTGCTAGGCCTCTGCTCAAGCCAGTTGCGCAGACGCTGTATGGGTGCGAACATGACGTATTCACGATTAGAACGTGTGTTATTCCTCCAGCACTTGTCACAGACCAACATTTCTTGTGCCCCAAAATGTTGTCGCTATTCTGCGCTATCTTATTTTATTTTTGTCAGGCGACGTGTTGCTGATTGCTTCACAAACAGCGGCAAACGATTTCGATGCGAAGTAATATTCATCAAAAGACAAAATAGTCGAAACTGCGATTGTGCTGATTTGAATCTGAGCATCAGCTGCAACACGGGATATGCTACAAGAATTCAATATTGTTGTGGTTTTAGTCATTTTATGTATAAAGGTGTTCATATGACGTAGTTACGGTTGCATTTTAAAGGGGAAATTCTGTACATCGTGAGACAAATAGGGAAATGGTCCTCGAAAAACGTGCAACTGGTTTACAAGTCCGTGAATCAGAAAATTCTGAGAAGTGTAGCAGTGAGGAATAGTTTGCGGAAGTATTAAAGCCCCCAAGGACTCAGTCCTTTTGCTGTGCTTTGGTAGGGATTGTACATTAATAGGATATGAAATTGTTACTAGCATCGCTTATGAAGTCTGGGTAATTCTGCAGGCCGGAGTCGATGCAACTTTGTTCGAAGTATGTTGTGTTGTTTTACTTACCTGTCGTAGTAGTAGTCCCTGAAACAAGAGAAAGAATTTTATTAAAGTAGACTGATTTGGTTGCAAGCATTATAAATTCGTCAATTGTTCATTATCGACTCTTTGCAAATAAGAACTTATGCCCAGTCTTAACAAATCTCTTTAAATAGTAATTATTTAGTTCTTAGACAAAATACGTTTTCATCATTGAATAAAGTACTTGGTAGCATTGAGACATACTTAACTGTAACTGTTAAATTTGTTAAAATATTTATCTGCTTTTGTTACTTAGGAACATTTATGGAATAAAATATCACTTGACAAAGCAAGAAATTAATGTTTGGCTGAAATAGGTTTCAGAAATTCATTCTACCTTCACCAAAGTGTGAAGGGCTTGAGTGTATAAATTTACAATTCAGTATATCTGAAACAAAAAGGTGCTGTCAAGTTTTGTTATAGAATGTACTACTTTTAATGGCCTGAAAATCAACAGAGCTTGGGATTTTCGAAACACGTCGACTGATGTTATATAATCACAATGTGAATTTATTATGTGAAAACATAAATATGGCTAGGACGAACACTAGAACGTACTAGAAGCTAGCAAGTAGACTGTTCAGAAATGAAACTATGGGCAAATAATTATTGAGGCTACTGTTTCCATACACTTAAAATTTACATGTAAATGTATTACTGACTATACATGTATAATTACACATAATGATTCATCGTGGTGGATATAAGAGAACATTGTAAATGCAGGCTTGGATTTTTATCTTCTCGTGCCCTGTGTAATAAACTATATTGTAGAGTGAGTTATAGAATATATTGACGTGACGTGCAAGTGTGTCGCATATGACATGCAGGGCCATTAAAAATACATACAGAAATTTCGGCTATAGGGTTCAGGAGAAGATAGGCCTAGGTAAACATACGTAGATGAAAGAATAATATTATAAGCCTAAGGAATCTCAGAGAAATATGTTTTTTGTCGGACTTAATTAATTTGGTTGAGGACAGGATCCAGTAGAACGCACAAATAGTGAATATTTTTGGTCGTTCGGGAACATAACCCCAATTTATAACATCGTACTTATGGGAAACAGCGACTGGCTTTACGAACTCTATCCAGGAACGTAACTTAAGAGCTGGAATACGTAGCCTGTATGCTCATCTTGTGTTTTCTCCCTTTAACCTATTGCGCCGGCTGAGAATAAAGATAAATATTGGACAAGAAGTGATTTCCCATGGTGATGAACGTATTTGAGGCACGTGCTGTCAGAAATGTCTCCGAGCATGTCGGCGAACCAGAAAGAACATTTCAATGCAACTTGTCGGAGACGCGGGTGGACTAGGCTATTCAACAAATGACGATATAGTTCCGTATGCATCGGGACTGCCAAGAATAATCAAATAGTCAGTTATTGAATAGTTATTCTCATTCGTTTATTTATTTGCAATGAAGCGCTACCAAACGGAATATTATTGAAGCCTCAGGTATAAAAATATAGCTAATAAATAAAGGCGGTCGTAAACACTCCCACCCCCTTTGTTATGTAAATTATTTGGACATGCCCCATAAAATGTTCCTCTATTTCAACTATAGTTAAATAGACGTACAGTATTAGAGAAATATTTAGCCTAGCACAAAACTTAAACATTTGTGGATGTACGATTTTACCGACTGATTTCTAGAAGAACCTTAGGTACTTCACTGTTAATCTTCTTTTATTCTTGTTTGTCGGTTTCAATTTTCATAGGTGAAATTAACTTATAGATTTGTCTTTGTACGAGTAGTTGGTAGAACTGATCATACGTCTGTATTTGTGAGACAGTTAAAAATCACCCTCTGGCAGTTACTTAACCTCCGTTGTTCTTGCTTTGAAAAGTAACAGCAAAGGTCGTAGGGTGTATTCCAGACTACTCGTAATTTGAGAATGTCGATACTAACACTAATATCGATTGCTTGGTTTAATGTCCTTACGAACATTTATGTATTATGCAGGGGTTGTGAGGTAAACTGGTTCAGATTCACAGCGAAAGATATAGGAAATCAGTAGCTTACAGTAGACTTTAAGTAGTGGTAAAGTTTCCGAGTTGTCATATTGCTGAGTTGATTACGATATAAATGTGTTACCTTGAACAGATTTAGTGAAAAGGTCATGATGAATAATTTTAAAGAATAAATGTGAGAGGGGGCGAATATTGGTAGTCTTTCTATACTGGCATATCAAGAGGGAGAGGGAGTTTAATTATGTGAATAATAGGGTATTGTATGGAAGGAATTTTTTTCAATGAAATACATATTTTAGATTTAATGCCATGGATTTTCTCTTTGTGCTAAATTGTTATGACCGTGGTAAAGTGAAAAGCATCGGTTATAAAACTGTTACTTTTGGTCGGAAGATTTGCCTTCACAATATTTGGCTGAGCTGTGCGTACGCTTTTCAAAATAACGTCTACTGAGGTCCGTCTTGGGATACATTCACACGGTGTGATAAAATATAAATGCAAATGTGAACGTTTCCCTTTTGTGTTATTTTCAAGGCATGAACAGTTTTGCGATATTCAGGATAAAGATTACGCAAGCTTCCCTTCGAATCTCCCGCTAATTTATGCACACGTTGTTCATAGATGTTGCAAATGGACTTTACTGTGGATTAGACAAACTCATCCGAGCCTACAGAATACTAGCATTTTCAGTTACAAGTGTTTTCTTTTAACTTTCTGTCCATAAGTATATATTAAATTTTGTCCGTCTAATCACAATAATTCTTATTAAATATTAAAATATTACAATAATTAACATTTAAAATATTTAAAATATTAAATGATGTTCTTTATCGAAATATTCGATTTACATTA